GCGGAGAGCAGGTGACACCGGCGGGGACAGCGACAAACCCATGGGGGCGGAAGGGGCGAGCCCCCCAGAACTGATGGGGTGGACAGACCCCCACACACAGACGGCGGAGGGGTGCCCCCCACGGCGGAGGGACCCCCAGCTGGAGAGAGAAACCCACCGTGGAGGGATGAACTCCTCCAGGCTGGAAATGGGAGCCCTGGGCTGGAGACATGAACCCCTCTACAGGGTTGGGGGACACCCTTGGAGCACACACCGTGCCGCAGGGGCTTGTACACGCTCCTATGTCCAAAACCTTGAGCTCTGTCCAGTACCCAGGTAGGGTTGACCCAGTGCCGGCCCCGCTGTGACTTGCTCCTTTTGAGGACGCAAAACCTGCCATATTTTAACTTACAGCCCTTAAAAGGCAGCGGTCTTCCCCTCACTGCAAAACACCGTCCTTGTGCTGCAGGGGTCTGGGGCTGGGCACTCAAGTGGGGAGAAGGGGCGAAAATGCCCAGTTGATTATTCCTTGCCCCCCCAACCAGGCCTCTCGACGCAGCCCATCTGGCGCAAGCTATGGGACGATGTGATGAAAACCAGGCCACCCAACTCGGAGGTGAGGAGACGCTGCTGGTGGGACTAGGGGCACGACGCAGGCGTGCCATCTCTGCCACCTTCGACGAGGTTTCGTTTCTAAGCCTGCCGGTGCTGCTGGCTGCCTCCGGGCGATGCCTGGCGCTTGTTTGTAAGCGTTTGTAGAGCTCCGAACCAAGGCACGACACCAGTAGGACGATCATTTTGGGAAACGGGGTTCGTAAAAGGAACGGCAGTGTAGAGCCACAGCACTCATCTCACAACAGCGAGTTTGCCGAAAGAATAAATCCTGTCTTTAGAGATGTAATTCTTTGGGAAACAGAGGTTGAAAACAGTATCTTATATCATGCTTACCCTTACACTGGCATAAAAATGTAATGTCATCTTAGAAAGCACTGGAAAAATACTTACAAAAGACAGTGAGTTTGGAAGAATGGTTTTAGGTAGGAAAACTGAATTTAGCATTGCAAAAGAATAGTTAACGGACAACTTAATCAGTGCCTATAAATAGACAGTCGGGAAGAAAATTCCTGATGGTGTGGTTTTCAATAGGCAAAAACTTGGCTTAGCTTCAGATCACTGAGTATGTTTAAATTGGGCCAGAAGTTCTCTCTTCATCCTGCGATGAAGTAACTCTGTTTTTTGACAAATACACTGAGGAAGGATGTTGAGAACTAGAAAGGTAGTCGCAGCTGTGCTAGCAGTCAGGTTTTTTGGACACCATATTTCCCAGGTTAGCAGATAGCAATAATTTAACTTTAAAAGAAAAGGAAAAATTGTGGCTGACTTCCTGTTAATGTGGCCCTCTTTTTTAATTGCAGAATATAACCTGTTGGAGGAAGAAGTTCCTTGAAACATTCTTCTCAAATGTTCTTCACGGTGTCTTGGATGTTTCCTCTGACTGGCGTCTCAACGACCATCACTTTTCGCCGCTGCTCCACAGCTCCCCGCATGTTTCCCAGCTTACCCTCTGCAACATGCTGCAGGATGCGGTGGAGCTCACTGCTGAGCACAACCAGAAAGTGCTTGAAAACCTGGCTGGCTCCCTGCGGATCCTGAAGTTCCAGCACCTCCTCTCCTCTGACCAGTCCATCAGGCGTTCACTGGTTTTACTTCTTCACCGGCTGATTCACCATGGCTCTGTCAGCCAAGTGTCCATGTATTCCTGGCCTGTTCCCGACACGGTTCTTCTCATTCTCATTTTGAGCATGAGTGCTGGGTTTTGGCGCTCAGGAAATGCCCTCGCGTATCACAGCAGCCCATGTGGCCTTTGCAGAGAGGAGGACAAAGCCCAAAGCCAAGAGTCAGCACAAGAGCAAGCAGAGAGGGGCCGTTACAATGAGAGGGAGTCGGGCAATGGTGATAACCAGAAGGGATCCCCCAGGGCCCTGGAGGAGGCTGATGCGGAGGTGAATGGATACGGGGCTGAGGCTTGCCTGAACTCTGTTCTCTCTGGACCAAGAAGTCCTCCTCTGCGAAACCAAGCGCGTGAGGAGGCAAGCAGTGAGGTGCCCTGTGACCACAGCAGCATTCAGGGAGGGTCTTCTCCTTGTTGTGTCTCAGACCAGCTGTTGTGTCACCCCGTTCTTCGAAAGACACGCAGACGGATGAAATCTGCAGTGGGGAAGAAACGTCGCTGCCTCAGACGAAGCAGGGGACCATATGCTGACCCAGAAGACCTGTATGATTTTGTTTTTACTGTTGCTAAGGAGGATAATTCAGGGTTAGTCGACAAAAACAGCACCACAGAGGGAGAAAATGCTGGGAACTGGACTAGTTCCTCCCCAGGATCTCCGTGCACTGGCCATGCTGGCTGTAAGAAAAGAGGATCTGCTGGGATCTTTTCTCTGAAAGCTACTCACCGCTTCCGAAGCGTGTCCACACTGGAATTATTCTCCATTCCTTTGACTGGAGAGACGTGTCGGACTTTGAGTAACCTGCTGAGCTCCTGGGTGTCTTTAGAAAACTTGGTTCTGTCTTACAATGGTTAGTGGTGTGAACAGGTTGCTTAGACTTACTGCTCATTGATTGTATTTTTACTGGAATGAGCATTGTAAGAGTATTAGTACCTGATCTTGAGAATGGCATCAGCAGAGATGTTTAATGGGCGTGAGGACTTGTTTGAGGGAGAGAATGGTGCCCTTCTGCCCCAGAACAGCCCCCGCCCTTGTGCTTAAACACCATCCAGAGAGGGCAAAGGGAAGAGCCAGATCTCCATCTCCTGTATACACAGTCTAGCTTAAGAACGTGTGGATAAAGCATTCTGTGAGTTTAGCATTTGACTTAGGTTGCTTGGCCGTTGATGCAGCTCCAGCTGCGTGTGCATTGGTGTCTGTACAGGCACAACTAACACTTTCTGTACAAATGCTGTTCCAGACCTGGGTGCCAACATCTTCTGCATCCTCTCTGGGCTCCGGGCCCTCTCCCGCCACTCAGACTGCCACCTCCGCGTAGTGCGCGTCAGTGACGTCTTCTCCCACATGCCTTGCATGGAGCTTGTTCGCTGCGTCCTGAGTGCCTTTCCCCAGCTCCACACGCTCTCAGTCAGCTTTGACCTCAAAAACCAGCTGGAAGGGAACAAGCCAGAGGGAAATCCAAGCTGCAGTGAGGTGGAAATCCCAGGTAGGAATCCTCATTCTGAGTGATGACCAGGATGTGGCAGGCAGATAGAGCCGCAAAAGCTTGGCACGCACATGTGAGCTCTATGCTGCTACAGTGACGTGTAATTAAGCAATTACAGCCTCACCTTTCTGATTTAGATGGTGTTGCAGTTTGTCATTTCCAGTCCATAATGTGCTCTCTGTGGAGCCTGAGTCTTGGGCAAAGCGTTTTATTGCTGTGTGCCAACCTGCTGCAGCATCAGCTTTATACAGGACCAGTCATAACCTGCTGGCAGCCACTGTCCACGCCGCCTGAGCAAGTATGGAGTGGGGTTAGCGAATAGCTGTGTTCTGGGAAGACACTCACTGGTTTGTGCATAAAGGGTGACCTTTTCTCAAACACTGTTTCACTGCCAGAACAGAGTAGAAATGGGTGGCCTTGTGACCTGGCAGAAGTCCTGAAACGAGCCTTGAGTGATTTACATTACTATAGGTCTGAGTTGCCATAGAGCTCTGTGGGGCAGGGTGTAGGCAATTTCTGCAAAGCTAAATGATAGTCCTGTCAGGCCTACGGACAGCTTGCTTGCTCTAGGACCTAGCTACGTTGAAGACAGGCACTCCAGACCAAGCTCTTTCATTGTTTTTTGTTTTCCTTCCCTTAGAGAGCTGCCTGGAGCAGCTAGAGATCCGGTTCCCCAGGGAACCTCTGCACACCACGTTCCTGCTGCCAGTGCTCAAGGCGTCAAAGTCCCTCCAGCAGTTGTCCCTTGACAGCGCCACGCTGCCCTGTTCTCAGCAGCTTGGGCTCCTTTTGGAGGCGCTCAAAGGTACTCTGCTAACCTGTAGGTAGCATCACTGTGACACAGAGTAGCTTCCTTGCTGTGATCTTCCATCCTTTAACATGAAGCCAGCTTAGGTGGGTCCATTTCTTCAGTGTGGACACCCTTGAAGTCTCCTCAGAGAAGGAAATGGGTGTCAGCCATCCCACTTTCTGTGCTGAGCATATGAATGATCCTGCACATCAGGATGGTTCCTTTTTAGTTACCCACAGTCCAGCACTAATTGTTCAACTCAGTTTCTGGGTGTAAGGTGGTAGTTGGGTCAGGGTCTTTTTATCCCAAGGACATACAGTACTTTACCTGAGAACTTGTTTTGCTCTTAGAGTGTAATCCAGCTTTGAAGAAACTGAGCTTTCATGATGTGAACCTGGCTGAGCACCAAAAAGAAGTTCTGGTTTTGCTTCAGGATCCTGTCCTGCAAGGTACAGCAAACTCCTGGGTGCTGGTGCCTGGAAAGGTGCTGCAGGTGGCTACTTTGGGTGGCTGACATTTAAGAGGTGATCTTCGGATGTGTAAGGTTTAGCCAAACATCACTGTCCCTGGAGCAGATCTGTAGCTGTTGTCACAGTGGGAATTTGTCTGGTTCTGTGTGTCAGCAGGGCAGAGAGAGGAGCAGCTGCAAAGCTGGTGTATGCTGCAGAGAAGAGTCCGTAGTCTTGGCTATAAAACAAAGATTTTTAACCTGCAGTGCAAATCAGCCTCTAACTGGGTCAGCTGGCAAAGCCACTTCCCTGGGTGTGATCTCTGCTCTCTTCCTGTGACAGAGTGGCCATGCTGTTGTATGCAATCCACTGCTGGGGAAGCTTTGTTCTTGCATATGGATTAGGGGCTGGGGTTGTCTGCAGGATGTGATTCTGGAATAATGAAGCAGGCAGAGAGCACTAACATGTACTGTCGATCCATTTCTTCTGTAGAAATCACATTTTCCTTCTGCCGGCTCTTTGAAAGCTCTACTACTGAGTTTTTGTCGGAAATAATCAATACAGTGAAAAGAAATTCATCTTTGAAGAGCCTCAAACTGCCTGGGAATCGCCTCGGTGCGTACAGTGAATGTTCCAATGGGGCCATGACCTTAGACCAGCTCTCTTGGAGATAACTTCAGGGTTGGAGCTAGGACCATTGCTAGGTGAAATAAGGAGCATTGAATTAATTTTTTAAAGGCAGAATTTCAGTTGCGTTCAGCAACGTACCAAGAGCCTGGGTGCTGCACGGGCATTATGGTTGCTTTTCTGTGCAGCAAAAGCAAGTATCAGTGGGACTCCAGATTTGGCAGAACACTAATCTGCTTCAGACTCTTAACAGGAACAAATCCAGCAGCAGATGCAGTGCCTGTCATCCGGAGGCACAGATTTTGCCCAAGTTTGGGGATTTTGTGCCTTAAAAGCTCTTGGCAGCCACTGGAGGGATGGGGATAAGTAAAGGGTTTGTGTCAAAGAAGTGGAACTGAATTTACAGAAATGATAGGCTTTTTGGATCACAGGCCAAGTAGAAAATGTCTGAGAAATGAATTTCAGGTAAATCCAGAATATAGTTTTCTCTTCTTCTAATGAAAGGAAATGGGAAAGCTGGGCATCACCCAGAATACACCTACTTTCTGAGGTTTGAGTTTAACCCTGTGCTGTTGGCCATTTTTAAAACAAAGCTGCATCTTGACTTCTCAAACAAACCCAGGATTTTTCTAAGGAAACAAACTGCCCTATCAGCAAATGTTTCCATTCCCTTGAATGCTGTGGTCAGCAGGGTGAATTTGCTTTAGGCCACTGAGGGGGACAAACTGAGGGTGCAGAGATGAGCCCTTTGTGCTGCATGCATATGCTTACAGCCTCCTTTCTGCACTATTATCTCAGTCCTGTGGTCATTTAAATATCCCAGTTTGCATTTAACACCTGTATTTCTCCCCTTTTAGGGAATCACAGGCTGGTTGCCCTTGCAGACATTTTCTCTGAAGATTCATCCTCTTCTCTTTGCCAGCTGGATGTCAGGTATTCTGCTGCTCTCAACAGAGTGAATTTCTTGTTTTGGGCAGGCCAGAGCTGAACTGGGTTCAGACAGCAGGAGAAGCCCGAGCATGGTTTTGCTCCTTCCTCAAGGGGACACATGCCCAAGAAAAGCTTAAGAGAAACACTGCAACGGGCACATACCACCTCAGGGACCTCCAGCACCTCTGACTGTCCCTCAAGCTCTATCTTAAAAGCAGGTTTGGTTTGCTGCTCCCTTGGGAGGCTGCTGCAAGCCCTTCCTGCGCTGTAGGTTAGAACAAACATCCCTACATACATTTATTCTTGGGCATCGGCATGGATAGCTGTGTTCCTACTGCCTTGGAATAGGGAGAGAGCGCTGTCATTGCCCCTGTCAGATCCTGTGAATGCCTCTGCATTCCTTTCATCTTTGGTCTTCAACCTGAACTGCTGCTCTCTTGAGCCTGAACACCGTAAAGATAGGCAGTAGCCTCCATGAAGCACATGGAGGGTGGCATTTCTGCAATACTAATGACTTCTTC